TGGGGAAACTCAAGTCAGTGGAATTACTTCAGATTTACACTGTTCTGACTGAGGCCAAGATTTGGTTCTTTACATAAGAAACCAAGAGCAAAGATCAAATTTTTCACAGTTACATATAAGCAACTACAGTGACATCCATGGAATTTTCCTGGGTGTAACTCATGGCAGAATTAGCCTCTTCCAGTCCCAAAGTTTACTTCAGAGCAGGTTCTTATCCAAGCAGTGGAATAATTCTGCCGTAAATCACAACCCTTGCATTCCCATTGATGTTTTATGCATCTCTGGTCCTGAACTTTTGTCTTTCACATTACTATCAACAAGGCAGTGTTATTTACTGTGAGAAGTTCCACCCTTAATCATTAAAACATAACAGTAATGGTCTGATATATTCCAAGTACTGAGCAGCTCGCTGAGTGACGATTTAACAGATTTGATAGCTATGCACTACTGCATTTACAGGTTGCACCTTTTCAGTCCTATCTCAACAGCTTTGGTGTGTCAGTTTGGTAACTTTAGCAGCCATGCCTGATTGTTGAATGCTAATCCTGGAAAAGTCCTGGTCTCAATGAAGGGGCCAATGAGATTGAAGCTTACAATGTCTCGCTAGAATTAGTAAAATTCACAAGACACAAAAAGTGACCTTTACAGCATGGCTAGCCATTGTGCCTGTGAGGTTTTAGACACTATAGTTGGTGCCATGGGAGGATAATCTCTGGAAGGTTTGTCATCTTTGTGAGTGTCCTACACTGAAGATTACTTCACTTGAATGTCTGGCCTCATTTCTGATAGTGACATTTGAAAGTCCCATTCCCAAGTGAGAAGTCTACAGGCTGCTCCCAGTTCACTGCAACTTCGTTTAAAACAATCTCATACCAAATATCATTTTGTCATGTCCAGGCTCTGAGTGCTCTCACCCTTTTGAAACTAGATACGTCACAGTTAGCCAGGTACCTACAAACAAAAACGGCTGACACTTGACTTTAGTTTAAGTAGAAGCAGGTAAACAAGCTTGGTGTGCCTTAAGTTACTCAGTGCATCACAGAATGCAAAAAGAAGTGGAAACCTTCAGGCCTTCTGCAGTGGCTGATCAGCCGAATAAAGGCAGGTCCACCTGGCATAGACGAGTGGGGAGCAGTTTTCCCAGGCCCCCTGTTTGAGAGGGCCCCCAAACTGAGTGGCGTAACAACCTAGTGCACAGGGTCATGACAGAACAGCAGCAGGGCTTAAATTCAGCTGGAGCTGTCTGAAGCGAAGCTCCATTAAATATTTTTAAACTCTTGGGGCTGACTCCCTGAGTCGTAATGCCTCTGGCGGGGGGCTCCAGGAAATACTCTGAGAATTTAAGTCCTGAGCAGCAGCCAAGTCAAACCAGTTCATAATGCCTGGAGCAGAGAGCTGGGTCCAGCCCTAACTGCTGGATTAGTGCAGGATTAGTGCCTCTTCAACCATCACTCCCACACAACCTGCACGCCCAGTGGTAATTTCTTTGGAAGAATGGAGGCCCTGTGTCAGATATTGTCACAGGCCCTCCAAAATCTGTGTGTGACCCTGAATAGAAGGCAGAGGAACCTGAGGCCACCAGTAGGTGAGTGTTCATGCCATAGCAGGATGGGGGTGTGAGATGGGCAGGAGCCAGAGTAGAGTCCTGTGCGCTTGCTGGACAGCCAGAGGAAACTGGATGTTTAACCACCAGTGGCTGGAATGGGAAATATCACATAGGCATGGATGAGAGCAGGCGGGTCATTTTCAGTTGTCTATCAGTACATTCAGTGAATGTCTATGTAAGCATCCAGAATGAAATCGAGGTCAGGATTTCACCTCCACACTTTTGGGTGCTTATTGAAACTAAACCTCACCAGTTCTGATTTTTCATCTTGAGTGACTGTATCAAAAGAGGAAGGAAGCACTATCATGTTTAGTCTCCTCATTGCCAACTTTTAGATGCTGGTACTTCTCAGGAATAATTTTTTTCAGTGGCAGAAGTGCTGATTTTTTGGTGATGGAATTTCAAATGGGATTTATGATGATTGCTATTTTTATAAACACACACACACTTCTCAGAGTTGGTGTTGAAGCCTGGTGCTCTGTCTACAGGATTAGGTATTTGACAATAGGTTAAAACATCACTTAAATGGAGAACGAAAAAACCAACTCCACTTGCTACTCACTGCAAACATGCTCCTTCAAATTCCATATAAATATAGCATTACTGTTGGAATGTGATTCCACTTAACCCCCAAAAAATGCAGCATAAAAAATATTAATCACATAGGGTCCTGCATGACAATCATTTTCCATCATGACAGTCATTGATGGGGTGTCTAATACTTAGACGACAGCTGTATTTAGGCTGGATAGGAAGTAAACATAAATGTGAATTATTTTTACTTGAGATGAGAAACCAGATGACATTTTGAGCTGGTATTACCGTAAACAGGAAAACTGTATGAGAGCTTACAGCTTATAAAAGTATCAAAAATACAAATCAGGAGGAGGTTTGCAGATCGGAGAAGGACAAGTGCAACACTGTAATAAAAAGTGAGTGAATGAGACAGAGAGTGTGTGTGTGAAATTATTCACGGGAAGACCATTTTTGTCTCAGACAATTCAAATATCCTCTTTATTGGACATGCTCAATGTGATAGAAGAGACCAGATTTGTCTTGATTATATTGTGCTACAGTAGTTTATCTGGTTCTCTTTGTTTAAAATAATAAAGCCCCAAATATCTCAAACACTGAGATTATCAACACAGCGTAGCAGAACGTGGAATGACCTGATGTACAGATCTCCACCTTCCTCATCATTCAAATCATATCATGCATAGTAATGTGAAGACATAAACCCTCATTCTCTGCACATTTACACACATGTTTAATTTTATACACCGTGAATAATTTAATCAGAGTCAGTGGTATTACTCACAATGTGCAAAATCAAGTACACATTTAAGGGCACATCTACACAGTGGAGTTATGCATACTGGGATGCGGGATGTTTCAAATAGGCACTCTACTAAAGCATGCTGGGGAACTTTTAGTGTGCCAGCAGGGTCTACACAGAGCAATTAATGCACCACACATCAGTGCACTTTAGAAATCACCCCTGCATAGTGCACATGGCTGCTCTAGTTAAGATCTGAGTAGAAAAGACCTGAGTCTTTTCAGGATCAGGACCTGAGAGTGTTGACTTACAACTTTTTACAAATTAGTTGTAGTTAGTGTTGTTCAATTGTGATGCAATGCTCCTACAGCTGAGCTCCAACCTCCTATTCAACTCAAGTGACCTCTTTGTTCTGGAACAGAGCACGTACATTTTTTAAACATTTTTGTTAAAGCCAGAGACTTTGCATGGAGAGAGGGAAAGGCGATAATAAGTGCCTATATAAGAAAAAGCCCCAAATATTGGGACTGTCCCTATAAAATTGGGGCATCTGGTCACCCTACCTGGTCTCCGCCTTTCCACATGTTAAAAAACACACAGCGATTGGAGGAGGGTTACTGTTACACTCTGTAAACTGTGCAAGCTTTAAGGCAAAAGCCTCAGCTTGTGCATCCACACTAAAATTTTTGCTGAATATTTAAATCAATCATGTACATCAATACCCAATGTAGCATTCCTCAATCACACACATGGGGCCCGATCCAAAGCCCAATGAAGTCAATGGGAGTCTTTCCACGGAATTCCTTGGGAAATGGATCAGGCAGCCTATGAATTTAAGGGAAAGCTTATACAAAACCTATTGGGGATGTGAAGTGTACAATGTATTAAGGCTCATAACTTGGTCAAATGAGAATAATTTTTATTGGAACACTTAAAGGCATTTGTCATCAATATGAGCCATTTCTACCACAACTTTCAACCTCTGGCTATTTAAGACTGTTCCAAAAACAAAAACAAAAACAAACAAACAAAGATTGCATTTTTTTTATAATGAAGAAAGTAATTTTTTCTCATTCTTCTCATGCTACAAAACCATTTTTTGATGAAGCATTAAAAACCCACTAGGGACCAAGCCACAACAATTTCAGTCCAAAAGGTAAAAGTTTGAGATAGTTACAAATGACTGAAAATTGTGAGTTAGAATGGAAACCGTTAAGAAACTCTGATTATAACAATTACTGCCTCAACTGCTATAATATGTTCATGTCAGTAGTTATCCAAAATATTTGTGGATGACCACAATATATTTCTTATTTGCTGTACTATTATATTTAATGTTTCAATAACAACCTCCCCCAACTTTAAAAATGTTCATGTGCAAAACTAATATTTGTTTTGGAGATCAGTAACAGAAGCCTGGCGTGCTTTTTTAACCGCTCACTTCGTATGCCTCCAACTTGATTGACTGAGAACATATATGCGACAATTAGACTTACTGTTCGTCTGAGGTGAAAACAAAACCTAGTGCTTCATCTTAAATATTAAACACCTTTTTAAAATATAAACTCTGAACTATACAAATAAAGCAGAAGAATAAAATTTGTCACCCTCTGTAATCTCAACACTATTTTAGTATTACTTTTAAATATATGTATATATTTCAAAGTGAATTTACAGTCATAGCCACAACACAAGTAATTTGATTTCAGAATGTATATAACAATACAATGCAAATATTGACTTCTGGTTCTGGCCCAAAGCAAGATTAGTCTTTTCTTGAGAATACACGGGCTCAAATTCATATTAGGTGCAAGGGCCAAATCCAAAGGCCATTGAAATCAATGGAAAGTCTCTCAGTGACTTCAGTGAACTTTGGATAAGGCTTTCTGTGTAGCTGTCTTAACTGACTCCTCACAAGGGCTGAATTTGGCCTTTTGGCTTTGACAGATGTAAAGCAGTTCATCCCATGTACCTATGTCCTTAATGATTTGCATACATTTAACCCCCCGCCCACTACCCCTGCAAGTTACATCATTTCCCCGTTAGCTCTGGTAAAGAAACCCAGCTCATGGCTGAGAAAAATAAATGACCAAACTACATATAAACATCTGTACTTACATGTGTCTGGCTTGAGCTGACTGTTGGTGATTCCGAAGTACTGGGGGTTCTCAATGACAGGAATCTTTGTCATTCCAATGATGACAGCATCTGGGCCGCCCTCAGAAGAGGATGGAGTGTTACTCCCATTCGAAATGTGATGGAGGGGACTTGCCGAATCATCATCATTGCTGATAACTGAAGAAGGACCTAGAGTTAGAAACAAAGATTCCCCTGTAACATGACATTTTTTTCCCCTCCCTCAGTCACCTGCTTTGGCTGACCAGTCTGCCCTCATGCACGACTAGCTAGTAGCCTTCTTTTTGCTAGTTGGTGTTTTTGCCTCTGGGGTTTTGTATGTTTGTTGAGGGAGGTGGAGAACATATTTCATATGGGACTTAAAACAAAGGCTTCATTTGGTGACTCCTTTATATGCACAAGGATCATCGTTCCACAGAGGTAACCTCTAAAGCACTCAGATACTATGACTACGAGTGTGTTATAAGTACCTATATTGGTAGATAACATAGACTTGATAGGACTACATCCAGTATAGTGGGAGAAATATCAAAAGTCAGTGAACTCTTCTGTTGTTTCCAGCAATAAGCTATAACCTGTATTCATTGCTTGTTTGCATTAGTCCCTACTCAGAACATACACAAGTAAGGCCTTTGAAAACAAAGCTGTGGGATGTTTTCCTTTGTCATGGCCTTATTGTGAGACAGGATATGTGTGTGAGATGCATTCTCCCTGAGGAGGGAGGTTGTCTGAATTCTGAAGGACTAAGAGGGTTAAGCCAACATTCAGAGCTCAGTGGACATGTAGGATCAAGGCAGGTGCTGGGCAAACACGCAAGGAGGGCAGGTGGAAGGAATCCACCGAACTTCTACCCTATGCATCACTGTGCAAGAACTGTTCCAACCCAATGGAACATTTCTTTCACCTTGGCAGCCTGTCAGAACCCAGTATTTGAGCGGCCACTTCTGTTTTGTTCTCTTTGCACTTTATTATTATTATTACAATTAAGCCACAGAAACAGGTGAGATAAAACATGGTCAGATTGATTAATTAATTAATGGTTATGCAAACTGTGCACTTCTCAAGTGGGTTTAAGGGGCTTTGATCTAATATCACAGCCTATGCAAGGTCAGAATAAGTAACCAAAGTAACCCAGGAGCTCTCATCGTTTACAGCTTAATTGCTCTCTTCCCTTTAATTCTGTGCAGGCAACAGGAGCTCAGAAAGAAGATGCAAGTCACTGCTAAACCTTGGCAGCACTTTCCCTACTCTTCCCACTGAAGAAACCATTTTCATAATTTTCATTTTCATTGCATAAAACAAACCATTTTCACCTTTATCATTCCATGAGATGGCTCATAAATAGGGGATGGATTTGGAGATCCCATTAGGAATTCCGCCTTTAAATAATGTGACATGGCTATTTCGAGGGTTCAGCTGCAGGAACATCCCTGTTTCTCTCCCCTCCCCTCCCCCAATTAAAACGCTGAGCCTGGTTTAGTAGTCCATAAAGGAAACCTTTTTATTGTTTGAAAAAGTAGTTTTTCCCTAGCCTGAAACATCAGCGGTAATTTTTCAAATGCCTTTCACTTTGCTGGGAAGTCACGGTTGACAACTTTAAGCAATGCATCTAGATCTCTGCAATTTATCTAGTGAAGTATTAATACTGATGCTGTTTTTCTCATTCCTGATTCCACAGATCCTTAGAAGATGAATGCTACTAGCAAAGCTACAAGGATTATGCCTGTTTTTTGGTGAAGATTTTTACATAATGAAGTCCAGAACACAGCAAACAGTTGGGAGAAAACATTTCTTGAGACGGTATATTAGCTACACATATAATGTCACAACATTATTTGATGTGTGTTTGGGTTTGTGTGTGCATCTGTGCTACTATAGAACAGCATGGAAAATGTAGAGAAGAACAAGAAAAGCCTTGCTAAAGTTTTCTAGAAAAAAACGCTCCTTAGTCTCATGTCTCTGAACTTTCTGTGTCTCAAGTTGATGTTACAACTAAGCTGGCAGACAAATAAAAATGTTGCTGGTCAAAAATGCAGTCCTTTTTAGATTAATGTATCTTTAGTGTGAAGGGCCACATCTATTTTATTACAACAGCTTGTAAGCTTTCTTAGACATATAACTTAATAGAGGCACTTCTAAGTCCTCTGCAGCCTCTGATTAGCATGAGAAACAAATCCCTTTGTCATTTGTTCATTCCCCACACGTATACAGGATTGGAAGGAAGGGGTGTACATTACACATCTATAGGAATGTAAGCAGAATAGTTAAAAGGAAAGCAATCTGCTAATCACATCAATTTTGCACTGATCAGGACTCTGGCATCCAGTTTTATATGGTAAACCAGTTTGAATTATTTTTTAAATGCAAGGCATTGTGGTTAAAATGTGGCTGCTTTCTTTGTAAATGAGGTTACTAAACTAAGCCAACTAATTAAACTGGTCTTCTGTGTTATGCCAATTAGATTTCAAATAATTTCTGATTTATTTGAGCAACATCTGAAATATGAGGGTAAATGCTAGACCACAGTGATTTGTTATGGTCCACTTAATTTGTTATTAGTCCACTCAATCAAGAAAACCTTTTTAAACATTCAGTACAGGGAACTGACTGTAAGTTACATCTCCTAATAAGCGCACTATATTTACTAAATAGAAAAAAAGAGAAAACAATGGCCTTTGCTTAATTTTAAAATGCCCATTTCAGTTTTCTACATCTGTTATATAATTAAAACATCCACCATCCAAGAGATGGCAAGTTTTTTTTTACATATCAGGAGACAAATAAACTTACACCAATTCAAACATCCACTTCACCAGGGCCCACTGATAAATGTGAATAAACTGGTACACAAACAGTTTTGTCGCTTGCTTATTTGATAGACTACCCGTTTTACATGAAGTTACATTCCATTTCCGTAATGCACTGACTTAATTACATTACAGTCAAGGGGGAGCACTGCAGCTGACACTTCACTGTACCAGGTTTCGCTGTTGCATTTCCAGAATGCAATTTGAATGTGGCCACTCCAAGCTGGCAAGAAACTGGAATTGCTCTTTCATGAATCATTTATCCAGAGCACAAATCAAAGGGTAATTTCTTAAACAGTGTCTAAGTACTGTCTCATCCTGATTAAACAGTGTCACCTAAAATTACTTGTCGAAGGCAGAATGAGCAGGGCAACCATTTGCTGACACCTATTATTGATTTTGCTTTCTCAAATCCAACATTGGCTTCGTACAGAAAGAAAATTTTAAACAAAATGTCTCCAATGGAAATGAAATTCATTGGCTGTCAATAGCCACCACTTCAAGGGACAGTTGCAGCTTTTAAGAAAACTCCAAAGAAACAGGGGTTTTCTCCATCCCGAAATGTTCTGCCTAACATCCTCACTGGGTTTTTTTAAGAATATATTTCTTGTCTTAAGAAGATGGAAGCCGGAGCCAGATAAGAAACAGCTGTCTGCCTTGGAGACAAATGATGAGAAAATATATCTTACAGGAGTGAGCTTCTCTCTCTTTATTCATTGTGTACTGTCTGTGCACAAGAGAAAAAATGTAGCATGGATGCGACCATGTTACCCATTTGCTCTGTGCACATCATTTCCAAGATGTAAGCATGTGGGAAGATTTAGGGAAAATAATTCTTTTCTAAGCTGACATTCTGTAGGGGGGCAGGAGGGAAGAAAATGATCCAGATTGTGACTGCTCCTCATGAGACGCATGAGGGTGGGAGGGTACAAGGAGCTTCTCTGCTCCCTGCTGTGTACCCCACAGAAGGACCAGAGACAATCACATTATCAAAAATGGGGAGGGGAGGAAGCAGGGCCCTGGGTCACACCCACACATTCTGCATTGGCAACATGGGTAGAAGGTTGCACCATTCGGTGCAATCCTCTGGTACCCCATGGAGCTTCCTAATGCACAATCGCTCTCCAACTTCTCCTTGGGATAGTGCATTTCTGTGCTGTCCCTTACAGTGGCTAGTGCCTTACAGGAACAATTAGGTCCAGACTGATAATTTTATCTTGATATTTTTTCTACAGGGTTGTAACTGCATTTTCCTTAGATTTGGAAAAAAATGATTATATTATATTTTAAGTATTTTCGATATTTCTGACCAAGATACACACTTTCACAATCACGCTATAAGAATAAAGAGATTTTTTTTCTGCTGCTCCATTGTTGTGAAGCAAAAGAGCGGTAGTGGATTTTTTTATAGGAATTCCACTGGACTGTAGTCACACCATAATTTCTGGCTCTTTTCTTGCTCCATTTCTGACTTCCTGTGGTACTTAGCCTCTGGGCTTTGGAGATATGTCTGGCTATTGACTGCCATTGAACTAATGCATATTACCTTGCCACATGTTAGAAGATGAAAAGAAGTCCAAATTAAATAATGGCCTAAGATTGACTCAGCTGAGCATGCTCAGACAAGAACACTGATGGTAGCACACAGGAGGGGAGAAGCTCACAGAGGCTGAATTAGAAAAACACTGCAACAGATAAATCTCAAAGGCAAGAACATATGGTTTTGGTTTACACCTGGCATGGCCTTGCTGAAAGACATTTTCAGGCTTTGGATCAGATGGTCACAAACAATCCCTTATGTTCATCTACTTCTATCCATTGATTGTGGCTAGAAGACAAATGACATATGTTATGTGCACTTAAGGTAAGTCTACACAGCAATTGAACACCCGTCGTTGGCCCAGGTCAGCTGACTTGGGCTTGTGGGTCGCAGGCTGCAGCACTGTAAAATTGCTCTGTAGACATTCAGGCTTGGGCAGGAGCCCAAGCTGAGGAACTCCGCAAATGGGGAGGGTCTCAGAGCCCAGGCTCCAGCCTGACCCCGAATGTCTGCAGCCCGAGCCCCATGAGCCCAAGTCAGCTGACCCAGGCCAGCTGCGGTCATGTCACAGTGTAGATGTACCCTTGTTGTCTGCTGTGTTTCACAAGTTAGCAGGGATAGTGTGTTCAAAGCCCAGTGCTTCACTGTGTCCCACATGAAAGAGTATAACAGAACCCAGTGTTGACCATTTGGAGTTACATCCCTTTGACTGGTTCCTTACTTTAAAAGATCATTTTGACTTGACCTCTTTAATATTCACTCTTTGTAGTTCAGTTTGTCTCCTGGCTTCATGCTGGACTGATATAGAATGGCCTACAGAAACA